TCTGGCATTGTAAGCACAGACCCATCCTTGGGCTGCTCACCTGTGCACACCTGGGTTGGTGATCAGGATGACTGCGTCACAAGTCAGTGAAAGCACTGCCAGATGGCTGTCAAAGGTGACAGTACCAGCTTCCACGCCCCTCCATGTCTGGAAGTACCTACTTCTCAGCCTTCCATAAACACCTGTTTTTATTAACCTGTTGGGTAAAATAGAACACCAATGATTTGCAGCTCATTACAGACCTGTTGAACTGTAATGAGCATTGCAACCTCAACGAGCCACTATTTCTGGGAGGGGGAAACAGGTCTACCCCAGGTATGGGGGCAGGAATAAACTTGGCCACTAGTAGTCAAAACATTCTTCATTGTCTTTTGTAAACAAGGAAATGGAGATTCACACAGCCGTGGGTGGAAACCAAAGTCCAGGGAACAAATCTTCGTCTAGGACCTTTCATATTGTGCTTTAAAAGTTAGTTGCATTAAACCCATCAGTTGCCAACAAGGAGTAGCATGTTTCTTTTCTGGGTTTGGGAAAAGTAATTTTGATCTGTGAAACGCCACACCCTCAAATTCTTAAATACTTTTTTCCTTGATTGTTTTCAGTTGGAGCCACAGCCTCCAGCCAGGAGGTAATTTCTCTTGGTACTCCTCACTGAATGGGGGAGTCAGGGAGCGTTTGAGTCACTGGTTAAGAGAGTGCAGCTGGAGAGCCATGTGTCCTGCACAGAGCACCCATTTGGGCAGGCTCAGAACACTGCAGGTTCCTTGACAGGCTGGGGTCAGAGTCTGTCTCTGCTGTTCACAGCTGCCAGAATATGAGAGGAGACTGGTACTTTTTCATTTTTTTTAAGCACAGAGAGTTCAGGAACTGTTTTAGTTATAAACATGTCTGTGGCAGGGAATAACAGGGAAAAATCAGTGACAAGCTTAAAGTCTAACAGTGGAGAACCATAGGTGAATGATGACGTCAGTAATGACCTAGCTATTCCAGCTAACTTGTAAATTCATGATGTCATGTTTGTGTTTAAAAATTTAAGAGTTGGGGATCCCTGGGTGGCTCAGCAGTTTAGCACCTGCCTTCGGCCCAGGGCGTGATCCTGGAGACCTGGGATTGAGTCCCACATTGGGCACCCTGCATGGAGCCTGCTTCTCCCTCTGCCTGTGTTTCTACCTCTCTCTCTCTCTGTGTGTGTGTCTCTCATGAATAAATAAATAAAATCTTTAATAAAATAAAATAAAAATAAAATAAAAATTTAAGTGTTGGGGGCGCCTGGGTGGCACAGTCGGTTGAGCACCTGTCTCTTGGTTTTGGCTCAGGTCATGATCCTTGGAGTCCTAGGATTCAGCCCTGTGTTGGGACCCTGGTCAGTGGGGTGTCTGCTTGAAGATTCTCTCCCTCTGCCCCTCCCCACACTTGTGCACATGCTCTCTCTCTCTCTTCCAAATAAAGAAATCTTTAATTTTTTTTAATTTTTATTTATTTATGATAGTCACAGAGAGAGAGAGGCGCAGAGACATAGGCAGAGGGAGAAGCAGGCTCCATGCACCGGGAGCCCGATGTGGGACTCGATCCTGGGTCTCCAGGATCGCGCCCTGGGCCAAAGGCAGGCGCCAAACCGCTGCGCCACCCAGGGATCCCCAAATAAAGAAATCTTAAAAAAAAAATAAAAATTAAGTGATGTGTTCTCTGCCTGTTGGAGTGTCATTTAGGAGAAATTTTTTGGAGAACTCCAAATTTGTACGTTTTAAATGTGATCCAGCAACTACACTTCCAAGAAATATGTCCTACCAAGATCTTGCACAATTGCATAAGGATTTGGGTACGAGGGTGTTCACTTTGGGACTGACTGCCTGTACTAGTAATTATCGGAGAGAATCCAAATAGCCATCAGCCCAAGGTTAGAGAAATACCATAAGGCACATTTATAATATTGTATTGCTTACAACTGCAGAAGGAAAATTGGGCCAATTGTATAGCCTGCCTGTACATATGACATAGAAAGACCTCCAAGGCCCAGTGTTCAGTGGGAAAAAGGAAGGTGCAGAACAGAATGGGAGGCTCTGGCCCGGTGCTATATTCCCGTGTGTTAACAAAGGCAGAGGGGCAGCCCGGGTGATTCAGTGGTTTAGCGCCGCCTTCGGGTCAGGGTGTGACCCTGGGGTCCTGGAATCGAGTCCCCCATCAGGGTCCCTGCAGGGAGCCTGCTTCTCCCTCTGCCTGTGTATCTGCCTCTCTCCGTGTCTCTCATGAATAAATAAATAAAATCTTAAAAAAAAAAAAAAAAAGCAAAAGAACAGATTTCCAGGGTAGTCACATCAGCTGTCAACTGTGGTTTTCAAAGCAATGGGTCAGAAAGTACTTCCACTTTCTACTTCACATTCTGTAGTGCCTGTGGCTTTTCTACAGTAAGCAGATCATGTATTTGGAATCAGGAAAATAATCAAGATCACTATATAAAGTGATCCCATGGCCTACTCTCCCGAAGGGCTGTACAATGTGATTCCAGTCTTTCAAAAAATGCGTAGGAAGGATCTGGAAAAGAACAAGTCCAAAGCATTGACGATCGTTGCTCTGTGTGGTGGATTTGAAATTTGTCTTCTCTATTTTTTGAGTGTTTTCATGAAGCATGAATTAGCTTACAAATTGGAAGAAAGAAATCCTGGGCTTTAGTTTTAGATTTTGCAGAGATTGGAAAGCCTCAGTGAGGAAGCCCTAGCCCATGTGAACCATACTTGTCCATGTACCATGTGCATGTGTGTTTCTCAGAAAACTCAGTTGCTCTGCCTTTTCTGGGTAGGATCCCAGCCATGAGGCTGAGGCTCAGGCCGGGGGCATGCTTGGGGTGCTGTCCTGTCTGGGCCTGAGTCCGTGGGAAGCCTGCAGAGCTAGTCCTCGTGGCTGAGAGACACTGATGGAGGGTGAGAAGGTCTGTAATTGCTGGGTCTGCCATCCACAGTGTTCATCCCACCATCCAGCCCCCTCCCTGTGGTTCAGGCCTCTGGCCTGGAAAGGAATTGGGGCCTCACAGATTCTGCAAGTGGCTGCAGGGCAGAGGTTCTGATTCTTTAGGGAAAGGTCAGGAAGAGATTGCTACCGAATATGAGTGGAGGAGTGTTTGGAGGGGACAGGGAAAGATTCCACTTGGGATTTTATAATCAATAAAATGAGCTTTTTATTATTTTTAAAAATTTTTATTTATTGGAGAGAGAGAGAGAGACAGAACAAGCAGGGGGAGAGGCAGAGACAGAGGGAGAAGCAGAGCCCTCACTGAGCAGGAGCTGGACGCAGGACTCAAACCCAGGACCATGATCATGACCTGAGTCAAAGATAGCCATTCAACCGACTGAGCCACCCAGGTGCCCCTAAAATGAGCTTTTTATTTTATTTTTTAAATTTATTTTTAAAATATTTTATTTACTTATTCATGAGAGACCTACAGAAAGAAAGAAAGGCAGAGACATAAGCAGAGTGACAAGCAGGCTCCATGTGGGGAGCCCAATGTGGGACTTGATCCCGGGACTCCAGGACCATGCCCTGGGCTGAAGGTGGCGCTAAACCGTTGAGCCACCCGGGCTGCCCTAAAATGAGCTTTTTAAAATAAAAAATGGGCTTATGTCATGATAGTGTTGAGAATCAGCCTTATCTCCATAATATACCTTGGTCATCTTTCCCACTGAGTACCCAGAAGCCCTGGTTCTCAATAGGTTTTCAAAGGTGGGAGGGTTATTTTTGATCACCACAATGATGCAAGGCCACTAAGGCATTGAGAAGGTAGAGGACATGGATGCTAAAAGCCTGAAATGGGCAGGGCAGTTCTGCACAAAGAATTTTCCTGCATCCCCAGGATCTTGGAATGTCTCATGGAAATCTGTTCCTAATCATCTGAGCCTAGAACTTAGCATTATGTTAATGTAAAGGCAACACATCTTCAGCGTGGTTGGAAATATTCTGAGTTTAGGAGGGTTGTGTTGTCTACGATTTTCATTTAGGGTGATAAAATTGGGCATATTTATGGTTTATACAATATTTACAGGTGATGTTGGCTCTGATAGGGTCCAGAATTCCTACTAATAGGATAATAAGCACAGTTGTTTGGAAGGGCTCTTGAGCATTTTAAGTGGATATAATCAAAATATATTTAACCAGTCCCCACAGATGGACATTTGGGTTGAATTCAGTTTTGCACACAACAACACCTTTTATATATATATGTTTGCAGATTTGTGTTTGTATTTCTCTAGGACACTTTTCTAGATGTCAGATGGCTGGGTCCGAATAAAGGAATTCACATTTTTCATCTCAGTACATTGCCAGGTTGCCTTTGGAGGAGTTTTAGACCCATTGACCCTATGCGAGGGCACCCATTTCCCGGTGTCCTGACCAGCACTAGTTATTAACAGTCATTAAATTGTTTGCTAGTCTAGGAGTACCTGGGTGGCTCAGTCAGTTATGCATTCAACTTTTGATTTCAGCTCAGGTCATGATCTCAGGGTCCTGGGATGGAGGCTAGAGTTGAGCTCCCTGCTAGTTGGGGCATCTGCTTGCGATTCTCTCCCTCTCCCTGCCCCAACCCCCACTCTTGCTCACGCTTGTACATTCATGCTCTCTCTCTCTCTCTCTCCCCATAATAATAAAAAAAAATCTTTAAAATGTTTGCCAGTCCAAACAAGGTGGGATAGGGGGTTGGTCTCTTATTTTTATTTTCAACTTTTTGTTTACAGGTGAAATGGTGTGTGCTTTCCTGTGTGAATTATGTTTCTTTGGTTTCATAGTTAATTAAGATTTGTCACTTCTGCCCATGGGACGGCTGTGCCCACATGAGAACAAATAGCCTTTGGCGAACTTTGTTCTTGAAAGGATAATAGATGGGAATATTTCTCTCTCTGATGTCGTCTGTCTCCCCAGAGCTGGGAGAGGCTTGGGAAGTCACAGGATGGGAGGAGGCTGGACAGCATTGCCCCAGAAGCCCCTGGTCTCACATTTCTCTTTGCCTTTTGCAGGAAGCTTGGAAGCATGCGATTGAGAAGGCCAAACACATGCCTGACCCCTGGGCTGAGTTCCACCTGGAAGATATTGCCACGGAATGTGCCACACGTCACAGGTCAGCAGCTTGTCTGGGGGTGCTACATGGCCCCAGGTTCAAGGACTCCTTGGGGGTGTGGGTACTGCTTCTGCTCATAATCAGTGAGGCCTAAGTACCTTTGGAGGTCAAGAATGGAATAATAATAGTATCTGCCAATATTTGAGCATTTATGCATGCTTAAGGCGCTTTGCATCATCTCATTTACTCCTCAGGATGGTCCTCTAACATATGTGTCAAGCAGGCCTGAGCCATGCTGTAGTTAACAAATAGTCCAGTGGCTCAATGCAGCAGCAGTGTGCTTCTCACTTAAGTGAAGTTGGGTGAGAGCGCAGGGACCCTTGGGGGCTGCTCTGGGATCCAGGTTTTTCCCATCTTGTGGTTCTACTGTCTCACCACATGGCTCCTACAGTTGCCATCAAAGGGAAAGTGAATGCATGGAGATCCATGTGGGCTTTTTGATGCCTTGGCCCTAGGAAGATTAGCAAAATGGAACTATGAGCATCTAGATTTCCTATTTGAAAAGGCAGAAAAGAGGAGTTATCTCAGGGGGTGTCAAGGAAGAAAACAGAGAATACCACAGAATACCACCACCAAGAATAACTGTGATGACAATGGCTCTCATCTATTGAATACATGTGACAGGCACTGTTTGAAGCCCTCTTTGTGTGTGTATTCATAAAAAAGCCTGAAGTAGGAATCATGTGAAGTATTTGGGAGCACTCTTGAGAATCTGATGAGGGCCATTCTAGAAAGTTGCACACTTATGTCTAATTTTGTGTTGGACCTATCCTGGAGTCCACCCCCTTGTCCTGTGACCTCTGTAGACCCCTCTGGGCTGAATCCTCTAAGCCAATAGCCCGAGGCCCAGAAATGATCCAGGGGAGATGGAGGTTTGCCCAGGGTTACTTGGATGGTTAATAAGCCAATCTCCTGACTCTCAGTTCACTGTCTTTGAATTAGTCAGAACTCCATTTCAAATGCTGATGACAGAAACCCAATTCACAGTGTTAAGCATAGAAGGAAATGTTTGGCTCACACTTGTGGACTTCGGGTACGGCTAGTTCCAGATGCTCTAAGGACACTTTGGGCTTTTAACTCAGATAGACTCTCTTGTATCAGTGGCACAGATGTTCCTTGAGAGCCCCATATTTCATTTCATCCAACAGAAGAGGATGTTTTCTTTCTCAAAATTTTTTAAACAAAAGTTCCATAATGAAATGTCATTGTTCTGGCTTTGGTTATATGCCCCTCTCTGAACCAGTCATGTGCCAGGAAGCTTTGTTCTGATTCACCATGTCTAAATCACAACCCACAAGCCAGAGGGTCCTAGGGGTCAGTTCTACCCAGCCCACATATTCTGAGAATGGAGGATGGTGGTTCCCCAAAGGGAAGTTGGGGTGCTATTGGAGAAAGAATGCTAGGCAGACAGAAATGGTGTACCCTTCTATGTCTTTCTGCAACGTGTCCCTGCTTCTGTCTTGTGAGGAGATGGCATGCACAGAGCCTGGCATGCACCCCTTTCTGATCGCAGAAGGCCAACCTCCTATCAGGCACTGGGGGTCATGCTGGCAGCTGAGGTCAGCATTGTGGGGGCCCCAGTAGGGCACGATATGGACTCTGTTCATCCCTGCCTATAAGGCCAACATGGTGACTGGTTGAGGATACCAGGTGACCCAGGCAGGCCCCTGGGAAAGCAGGCTCCCACATGCTGAGCTGGCTCTGTGTGTCCTGGAACTCTGGGGTCCAGGGACCAAGCAGAGCTGTTTGTTTCCTAACTAAAGTGCTTAGAATCTCCAGAAAATTTCTAAACTGGAAGGCTTCCTCCTCTATTCCTGTTTTTTTTTTTTAAGATTTTATTTATTTATTCATGAGAGACACAGGCAGAGGGAGAAGCAGACTCCATGCAGGGAGCCCGATGTGGGACTGGATCCTGGGTCTCCAGGATCATACCCCAGGCCAAAGGCGGCGCTAAACCGCTGAGCCACCCAGGCTGCCCTCTATTCCTGGTTTTTAAAGAATGCTGGTGTAGGCCGTCCCCTGTGTTGAGACAGATTTCCTGTTCACATGGATTGTACACAGGCTGGCTAAGAGCAAGGCTCTGGTTGAACCTGACCTGGGTCTGAATCCTGGCTCTCAGGCAAGTTACTCGCCTCTTGAGCCTCAGTTTCCCCACCTGGAAAGTTGGCACAGTAATTGTGCCAATCTCACAGAGCTACTGCAAAGGTTAATTGAAGAGATCTGTTTAAATGCCCCGCAGATAATGAATGCTTAGTGAACTTTGAGCAATTCTGACATTCATGGTGTCAGTGGCTGGGAAGGACAAATGAGATCTGTCTGACATCCCATATCTCTCCCATCCCTCAACTTCTGGGTGTCTCTTAACCTTTAGTCTTGTTTGGAAGTGAGGGTAGACAGTTTTCCTTTACCTTGGTAAAGGTAATAATAGTAATAATACATAGTAATAATAATAATCATTGCTGTTATTTATTGAACACAGTACTTGCTGTGGGCTGTTGCAGGCAAGTAGCAGCTCTGGTGGGCATCCCCCACCCTCCACCCCAGCCTGGGGGAGGTTACCTGCCAGGCTTCTGCTTGTCTTTACCCGTAGAGGTATCAGGCTCTGAGAAACCTGTTCTCACGGATCTGGGAGCGGTCTGGAGTCCATCCCGCTAAAGGGTGGGCCGGGGAGGCCTCTGCTAGAGCTGAGAACACCTCAGCCCTAGGGAAGGTTTTAGAATTTAGGGATTTACTGAAGTGAGAAGCTCTCCACCAAGCAGGTGTGTTTGAGGCCCAGCCAGGCCTAGGGGCAGATTTGCTCTGGGAGGATTCCTGAGAAAGGAAAGATGAAAATGTTCTGGAACCTTCTCTGTCTCTCTGCTTTGGGTGTCATCCAGCAGCCCCTTTCTCAGCTGGACTCAGAGGCAGGGTGCCCCCTACCCCTTCCTGCACCAACACACATGCCCAGCTACCTATGCTGGGCCTCACATAGGTGCCCCAGCAAGATCAGGGCACTGCTGCCTCCTGTCCTGGGACATGCACCATTTGTTGTGTTGATTGGTTAAAATAAGGATATTTATTTATTCAGCTGTTCATCCAACGTGCATTTTTTAAGCTTCCACACGTACCAGGCCCCGCAGTGAAGATGACAGACAGGGGCCTGCCTTTGCGGCGTTATAGTCCAGTGCAGGGGGGCAGATGGGGAACAAGCCTACAAGTGCCAGAGGACATGTTGGAGAGGAAGGGGCAAGAGGCCAGTGTGTGCGGACCCGAGAGGGGAGGGAGATGTCCACAGACCCTTCATGTTTAGCCAGTGGGTGACAGGATCATGTTATAGATGCTGTGCCCTTAGGGTGGCTTTTCTCTGCAGGTACAATGCTGTCACTGGGGAATGGCTGGAAGATGAAGTTCTGATCAAGATGGCATCTCAGGTGAGCCGTCCCCAGCCCAGTGGGCACAGAGCTGAGTGGGCATTCTTCCTGAATAGACTTCTATTCCTGTTCCCTCCCCTTCACACTCACTTAATTGTTTTAACTAAAGGGCATTCTTTATATTATTGTGTATTTATTTTTTAAGATTTTATTTATTTATTTGAGAAAGAGACAGAGATAATGAAAGATAGTAAGAGACAGCAGGAATTGGGAGGAGAGGGAGAAGCAGCCTCCCCACAGAGCAGGGAGCCCAATGCAAGGCTCAATCCCAGGACCCTGGGACTATGACCTGAGCCGAAGGCAGATGCTTTAACCACTAAGCCACCCAGGCACCCCTGTTTTATTTGTTATAATAATTTTATTGAGATATAATTCATGTACCATACAACATACCTATCTACACTATATGGGTTCAGTGGTTTTTGGGTTTAGAGTTGTACAACCATCACCATGATCAATATAGAACATTTCACCGTTTCTAAAAGAAATCTCATACTTATCCACCAGTAGCCAGCTACCAATCCCCAGATCTCCCGCAGCCCTAGACAACCTCTAATCTAACCCATCTCTGTAGGTTTACCTATTCTGGACATTTTATGTATTTATCATACATCACAAGTTGAACATACCTTGGCACTCTTGTCAAAAATCCATTGACTTAGGCATCCGGTAGCTCACTTGGTTAAGCATCTGCCTTTGGCTTAGGTCATGATGCCATATCCAGCTCCATGCTTAGCGGGGAGTCTGCTTTTCCCTTTCCCTTGCTGCTCCCTCTGCTCCTGCTCGCTGTCTCTCTCTCTCTCAAAATAAATAAAATCTTTAAAAATATACCAGTTGGCTATAAATGCATATATATCAGTTTTCAAAAATTGCGGGTCATCACTTAAACCTGAGTCATAAAAGGATTCAGTGGCTTGTAGCCATCCTTTTGGGAAAAAAAAAAAAAAAGAAAGAAAGAAATAGACTAGAAAATGGAGCACCTCCTGCATTGTCAGAGGCAGATGGTTTTTTATTTATTTTTTATTTATTTTTATTTTTTATTTATGATAGTCACAGAGAGAGAGAGAGGCAGAGACACAGGCAGAGGGAGAAGCAGGCTCCATGCACCGGGAGCCCGATGTGGGATTCGATCCCGGGTCTCCAGGACCCGCCCTGGGCCAAAGGCAGGCACTAAACCGCTGCGCCACCCAGGGATCCCGAGGCAGATGGTTTTGCAAAACTTTTTTCTCATGTATCATACACTCCAAAAAGGGTGCGGCTTGATGAACTTCATAAAGTGAACACTCTGTGTAACCAGTGGCCCCCAAAAGTCCCCCTCCACTATGGTCACTACTCCCTTACCCCTGGGGGAAGCACCAACCCGGAATCTATTGCCCTGGATTAGTTTTGCCTATTTGTGTACTTCCTATAAATGGAGCCATGCCGTATGTATACTTTTGAGTATGGCTGCTTCTCCTCAGCATTTCATCTGTCACGTTCATACTTGTTTTTGCTAGCCCTATAGTTGATAGAATAATAAAGAATAATAGAAGAGAACAACAGAATATATTCATTCTCGTTGGTGTATAGTATTCCATCAAGTGAGTAGACCTAATTGATTTATCCATTATACTACTGTTGGAGGACATTTAAGTTGTTTCTACTTTTTCTTTTTCTTTTTTTTTAAGATTTTATTTATTTATTGGAGAGAGAGAGAGAGAGAACCAGGGGAGGGGCAGAGGGAGAGGGACAAGCAGACTCTGCAATGAGCCTGGAGCTGGACATGGGGCTCGATTCCACAACCCTGACACCATGACCTGAGCTAAAATCAAGAGTTGGATGCTTAACTGACTGAGCCACCCAGGTGCCCCTCTGCTCTTTTTCTGTTATAGAAAACAGAAAAGCAGAGCTTTTCTGACATTCTTTGACATTCACTGTTACCCCTATAACACCTTCACCCCCTGAGGCCTCTTCCCCTCAGCCACAGTGCGGGGAGGGTAGTCTTGTCATCCCTGAAGCCTCCAGGCTAGAAGTTCGCCTAGGCTTTAGAGCTGAGGTGAAGGAGGGAGGGCCCAGGAATTTTAGGATTGAGATGAGGTCCAGGCACCGATTTGGTGGGTGATGTCCAAGTAGGGGAGTCTTCCTACCTCAGGACTGCTTCTGGGTAGGACACGGAGACTGATAACCATCTGTGTGGTGTCTTTCAGCCCTTCGGCCGTGGAGCGATGAGGGAGTGCTTCAGGACGTAAGTGACTCAGCCTGGCTCACAGGGCCCTGCCCAGACTCTCTCAGGCTCCCAAGAGTAGGGGCATTGCAACATTTCTGGCTAAGAAGCTGAGACAGCAGCCTCTACTTTTTGTAGGCCAAGCTTCTATCTGGTCTCCTTTGGACCACACATTTACCCTGGCTGTGGGGATGGGCTCGGGGAGAACATGGGAGTATCCCATTGACCTCTGCTCTGGTGTTTGGAGGCCAAAAGATGTGGGAAAAGAGACCTTTAGCTATGTCCCTTAAGCCTCTTCCCAGCTCTTTGAAGGATACAGTGGGTCAGGCTGGGTCCCTGATGGACCCAAGTGCCCAGGCTGCTGAAGATCCTCTGCTGCTTCCCCCAAACCCCAGAAAGAAGCTCTCCAACTTTCTGCACACTCAGCAGTGGAAAGGAGCCTCCAACTACGTGGCAAAGCGCTACATTGAGTCTGTGGACAGGGATGTGTACTTTGAGGATGTGCGTCTACAGATGGAGGCCAAGCTCTGGGGAGAGGAGTATAATCGACACAAGCCCCCCAAGCAGGTGTGTGGTGCCCCTTCCTGCCACCTTCCCACTCAGAGCCAGGGACTGGAGATAAGGGCAACAGTGGTTCCAGTCACAGTTTCCCTTCACAGTCTTAACAGTACCTAGTAACAACCATCCTCTATTGAGCATGATGGGCCAAACACACTCTGTGCAAAGAGTCCTTTCTTCCTAAAAACAGAGCTCTGAGGCTGTTTGAGGTTAGGGTGTTTTTATCCCATTTACAGATGGGATCTGTTAGTCAGGATTTTTGTTTGCAGATGTTAAAAACCCACTCAAGTGGGCTCAATACTAAAAAGGAATTTATTGCCTCATGTAACTGATAAATAGGGCTGGCCACAGGTATGGACAGATCCAGAACCCAACAGGATGTTGAGAATCTTCCCCCATCTCTAGCTGAGGTGTTCCTCTGTGTGGCATCACTCAGGCAGTTTCTCCACTTGTAGTGGTGTGTCGACCACTGGCACCTGCAGGCTCACTTTCTGTCTTCTCAGAAACCTTGGTGGCATGACAATACCTGTTTTCCCAGAAGTTCCAATGAAAGTCTCAGAACTGGGTTTCATTGGCTCTGACTAGGTCAGGTGCCTGTTGCTGAGCCAATCACTATAGCCAGGGGAGGGAATATGCAGATTGGGTAGGCCTGAGCCATGTGCTCACCCTTAGAGGCAGCAGTGTGGATCCTTCCCCCAGACTATGTAGCCTGAAATTGGTGGCTCCCAAGAAAAAGCAGAAGGAGGGAAGGATGGATAACATGTCTGCCCTCTGGGAGCCCCAGGTTCAAAGGGGTTAAGTGACCTGCCTGTTTGGGAGCCAGGGCTCAAATCCAGGCATTCCAGGCCCCTGCCCAGTTGGCTCCTTCACTTGAGTCCCCAGGTTGTTTAGTGACCCTGGGGCAAGCAGAATTTCCTGTTGCTTGTAGGCATTTGAGAAACAGCACTCCTTGTCTCTGCCCTGGCCAAATTCATAGCTTAGCTCTCCCATTGTTTGAATACCTACTAGATAATATGACACTGTCTCCTGGGCACCTTGGGAGAGCCACATTTCCAAGAATCCAGCAGAATTTATTGAGTACCTGCTGTTTGCACGGCTTTTGGTTAGGTACACTTGGGGTAGACACAAGAACCCACAGTCCCCACCCATGGGGTCTGTGACCTCCTCAGTAATTTGCTACATCCCGTTGGGCCTCCTATCTCTTCCTCCCTCAGCTTGTTCCTGCCTCAGGACCTTTGCCCTGTGCCCCTGGCCTGTATCATTGTCATTGCCTCTCTCCACTGCCCCAACCTTGCATGATTTGCTCCTTCTCATAGTTCAGGTCTCAGCTCATATGTCACCTTCTCAGCAAGGCCACCTCAGGCCATCCTAAATGGAGTAGCCCTTCTACTACTGTCCTCTGTCACGGCCATCTGTCTATTCTAGTTTCTTTTGTTTGGAGCAGTTAGCGCTGTCTAAAGGAGACTTGTTCCTATAGTTAATATTTTGGTTGCCTCTCTCCCCCAGGGGCAGGGATTTTATCTGTCTTGTTCACTCTATCACAGTGCCTAGGTGCTCAGTAAATAATGTGATTGGCTGAATTGAGGAAGGGAAAGGAATGTAGTTGTCCGAGGGAGAACCGGCCATCCCTCCATGGCTGCACACCTCCAGCTCCCCCTCCCCCAGTGAGCCCACTGGCCAAGCAGGTGGCCCAGCCATAGATTTCCTTGTAGGGATAGAGCCAGTATTAGGGGTAGGAACCTCTGAGAACCAGCTGCTCCTTCCCCTTAGGCTGGTTCTTGGAACTGAGGCCAAGTTTGGGGACGCTCTCAGCTCAGGATGTCTTCAACCTTTGCAGCTGTTGTCTGCCTGTCTAATGATCCAGCCAGACAGTTCCTTAGATGGCTGTTTCCCTGGGAAACCCAGAGCCTTCTATACTAAGTGTTGTTAAGGGGGGGATGGGGTGCCATGGGTTGTGTTTCAGGTTTTACCAACCCCATTTTACAAACCATTCATGGGATTTACACATTTCCTTCTACATATAGATTAAACCTGTACTTGGTAAAAAAAAAAAATTCAGCAAGGAATGTCTAAGTTCCCCATAATTCCCCATTGCAAAGAGAGACTCTTTATAGTTTACTGTATATTGCTCTAGAGTTGTATCTACTAGTAATATCATTATTTTTTTTTAAGATTTTATTTATTTATTCATGAGAGACACAGAAAGAGAGGCAGAGATGTAGGCAGGAGAAGCAGGCTCCCTGTGGGGAGCCTGATATGGGACTTGATCCCAGGACCCCAGGATCACAGCCTGAGCTGAAGGCAGACGCTCAACAACTGAGCCACCCAGGGGCCCCTACTAGTAATATTAATGTCAGCAAGTGTTGATGGACTCTTTCATGTATCACCAGATTTCATCCTCACACTAAGTGTGAGATCCCCATTCCATAGTTGAGGAAACTGGGGTGCAGGTGGTCTACATTCACAGTATTAGTGAATGAAGGCTAATACAGGCTAAGCTGCTTAGTGTACAGACCTGTAAATGAGTGCTAGCGCAAAATGGTTTCCTTCTTTCTCACCTGACAGTCCCACTTTGGTGGGGTGCTCAGGGTGCGCTGGTGCCTCACCTCCTTAAGTCATCCAGAAGCCTGGTTCCTCCTGTCTTGTTACTCTGCCTTCCTGTGGGGTGTGGCCCTGGACCATGTGACCTGGTTGGCCTCACTGGCAGATGTCCGCTCTACAGCCTCGGGAAGGCCAGAGGAGGAGGGTGCAGGCTAGAGTTCCATCATCACTGCTGCTCACTCCCCATTGACTGGGCTTGATCACATGGCCACCCCTAGCTGCAAGGGAAGCCGAGCCCCATCATTCCCACTGGATGGCCGTACATCCTGTTGGAATTCACATGGACTTGTCTGAGTCCCTCTGGGCTGCTCTAACAAAATACCACAGACCCAGCAACTTATATTCTGCAGTCATGAAGTCTCGTGAGTCCTTAATGCTTTTTTCTAGAGCCACCAGTAGCTGTAGAATAGTGCTTCTGAATTGGCTTTCTGACATTGAAGTGTAATCCAGATTTTGTAACTCTGTGGGAGAGAGGGCTGTTTCTGATTCTTTCTTTTGAGGTGAGGTTTTCCTTCTAGTCATTTTGCTCAGTGCAGAGTGGCCAAAAACAAGTTGTATTGGAACACGGGGGAGTATCACTGGTCCGTCCAGCTGGTCTTCTGGGGGAGGGGCGTGCTGTGCTGATTTTCAGGTGTTAGCACTTGGGGGAGCTGCTCTGCCCCTGCCTGCTGCCGGGCTCAGCGGGGGTTGTTTACCCCGTGGGGCCCCAGGAGGAACAGCCGCAGTTGCTATGGCAACTCTGGAAGCCTGGATTCAGCCTCCGCAGGAACTACGGTGCTCTCTGTCTGCAGGGCCTGGAGGCTCCGGGGCGGTGCCGCTGATCTGCTCAGCTCGGGGCAGGAGCGTCCTCGCTGTCCTGGGCCCTCCCGGCCTCTGCCTGTCCCAGGGGGAGGCCGGATCCTGGGCTGTGTCCTGGCGTCCTGTGCTCCGGGGCCTTCGCTGTTGGATTCGCGCTCCCGCCCCGCAGCCCCCTCCCTGGAGCCGCTCCCGAGCCCCTCCGAGCTGCTCCGGGTCCGTTGTGCGCGCTGCAGCCCTTAGGGAGCTCGGAGCACTCTCCTGCGCTCGCAGGTGTCTGTTAGTGTCCCCGGAGCCCGAGGGCATCCCCGCTCTCCTGGGTCCTGCTCTAACTCCCTGCGAGCCCCTTTCCGCCCACCCGGGAAGGTTGGTGCAGCTCCTGCTCCTCCGGGACGGGGCTCTCCTGTCCTGGGGACACTCGCCCCAGCCTCAGCCCGGCTCCTCGCGGGGCCCCTCCCCCTCGGAGGCCTTTTGTTTCTTTATTTCTTTTTCCCCCGTCTTCCTACCTTGATAGAAGCGCGAACTCTTCTCACTGTAGCATTCCAGCTGGTCTCTCTTTACATCTCAGGCCGAATTCGTAGATTTTCAGGATGATTTGAAGGTTAGGTAATTTGGTGGGGACAGGTGATTTGGGGACCCTGCTCTTCCGCCATCTTGCCCCTCCCCCCTGCCAGACCCAGCAACTTATAAATAACAGCAATGTATTGCTTACAATTTTAGAGGCTGAGAAGTCCAAAATCAAGGTGCCAGCATGGTCACATTCTGGTGAGGTCCCTCTCCTGGTCTACAGCCAGTGCCTTCCTCTGTGTCCTCACTTAGCGAAAGTGCAAGGAAGCTCTGTGTGGTCACTTTTATTGGGGCACCAGTCCCATTCATGAGGGCTTCTTGCTCATGACCTAATCCCCTCCCAAAGGCCCCATTGAATACTGTCACCTTTGAGGGTTAGGATTTCAACATATGAATTTGGGGGGGGGCACATTTAGGCCATCACAGGGGTTTTCATTCTTAGAAGGAAAGGGGAGAGTGGATTCTGGGGACAACTGGAAATTTCAGCTGCAGAGAACTGATAACTAATGGAGCCAGGGTGGGAGCCCAGGCAGGCCGGCTTCTCCCAAGCCCTCTGCTCTGGCCTGCCATTGGAGGGGAGTGCCGCCTGTCTCTTGCCTGACCTGCTCCCCACCGACCAGGTGGACATCATGCAGATGTGCGTGGTAGAGCTGAAGGACAGACCAGGCAAGCCGCTCTTCCACCTGGAGCACTACATCGAGGGCAAATACATCAAGTACAACTCCAACTCAGGCTTTGTTCGCGATGACAACCTGCGTCTGACACCACAGGTGAGGCCCCTAGACGGGAGGGTCCCTGTGGGTATGAGGTCTCCCCTCCAAGTGTCCTCAAGTCTCATGAGACAACCCAGCCAGCTTCTGTGAGCAGACCTAAGGTACCTGCAGGATTAAACAGGCCCCCTTCCTTTGTCTTTTCCTCTGTACAACCTTTCGTGGCAAGAAAGGCCCCACTACGGGCAGAGCTGGGGTGTTACAGCCCCTTCCTTGGTGGTGGATGACCTGTGTCCATGTAGGCCACACCCTGGTCTCTTGCCGTCAGTCACCTTACTCTTCCTGTCTCCCCCACTCCGCCCCAACCCCTAGGCCTTCAGCCACTTCACATTTGAGCGTTCTGGGCATCAGCTGATTGTGGTAGACATCCAGGGTGTGGGCGACCTCTACACTGACCCACAGATCCACACCGAAAGGGGCACTGACTTCGGAGATGGCAACCTAGGTAGGTGGGGAAAGCCAGCTCATTTCCGTGGAGACCGCAGTCCTTCTGCCCCCCCCCCCCCCAAAATCTCCCAGCTCTTTGGACACCCAGGGAAACCAGCTGAGGTGGCAGGTTGGCCTTTCCAAGATGGTGGGGATGGAAGCTTAGGACACCTGACGCCCAACACTTCAGCGGATTCGACGCCTGCTCTTGCCACATTTATGGTGTCCCTCACTGCCCTGCTTCTGTCACAAAGCAAAGTGGTGCTCTAGACTCCCTTGCTCTGTCTACAGGTGTCCGGGGGATGGCACTTTTCTTCTACTCTCATGCTTGCAACCGGATTTGCAAGAGCATGGGCCTCGCTCCCTTTGACCTCTCACCCAGAGAGAGGGACGCGGTGAATCAGAACACCAAGCTGCTGGTGAGTGCCCAGGGGGAACCTGCGTAGCCCTTCTGCTGTCAAGCCAGTAAGCTATGCCTCTCTGTGATGGTAGCCCAAGCCCTGTGATACTTACTTGAAGAGTTCCAGGGACAGAAGGACCTCAACCCCCTGTGTGCCCCTCATCCCTCCCAGATCAGTGCACAAAACCCTTCCAAGTGTCCCTATTAACACAATAACTGGGGTCTGCTTGATTGGACCTATTTTGACCAGAGTGAGGAGACCAAGAGTGTACAGATAGTGAGAGGTGTGTGGTATGTGTATTCACATGACGTGTTGACAAATGGCTGAACTAGACTTGGACCTGGCTCTTTGGGCACCTTGCTGTGTCCAGAATGTACCCACTCCCTCTCCTATTACCTTGATCAGATGCAAGAAATTGTTGGCAAAGACCAACTTGGGATTCTGGATGCATGTCAGCAGGCATTCCCCAGCTTAAGGCTTAGAGTTGTGATCAGCACTTTGGGAGTGCTGGCCGGCTTTGAGCTCTTATGCCAGATGCCCCTTTTTAGAGGCCTTTGGGTTAATTTCCCACTGGTTATTTTTAGATTTTCTACCAGTCCCTAAGCAGGCATGTATGGGAGCTATCAACTGAAAGGGCCTCAGGGTTCAGGTGAATAACATGCTATTGGAAGAACCCTTCACTCCCCAGAAGGTTCTGTGTGACACGGGTGTACCTATTAATTCTCCAGCAGTCTGCCAAGACCATCTTGAGGGGGACAGAGGAAAAGTGTGGGAGCCCCCGAGTCAGGACCCTCTCTGGGAGTCGCCCTCCCTTGCTCCTTCGCCTTTCAGAGAACTCTGGAGATGAGAACATGAGTGATGTGACCTTTGACTCTCTCCCTTCCTCCCCATCTTCGGCCACACCACAAAGCCAGAAACTGGACCACCTCCGTGAGTGACATTTTGGTCCTTGGTCATCGTGCTTGGAGGGGACAGGCAGCAGAAAGAACACGCTAAACTGGCTTTCGCTTATGTTAGGAAATCAGACATGCTAACCAAAAAGGGTCACAGCCCAGATGGTTTTATGAGTGAGTTCACTGAATACATTTTTAAGACGCAAGTCATCCAAATGCTATAAAAACAACCCCTATTTTAGAAAACAGCATAATATTTTTCAGTGTGTTCTGTGAAACTTGCAAAACCTTTATACCAAAATTTAACAAAACAGCAAAAGAAGAAAACCTACATTCCAGCCTCACTTATAAATACACAATATAGGAATTCTAAGTAAGGTCTGAACAGAACCATTAGTATCCTAAAAGAATAGTCTGTCATAATCAAATAGAGTTTTTACAGGCTTCTGAGAGTTATTCAATGTTAGGAAATCAATGAGCATCATGAGTAGGTCAGAGGAGAAAAGCAGAATCATTATTCCCAAAGTTGGAGTGAGAGTTTGCTGATGTGGACGTGGGATCTGCAGGAAAGAGGGGAGGCAAGGCTGCCTCTAGGGTTTTGATCTGAAGAACTTCAAGGGTAGTATGGCCATTTATGCAGCTGGGGAAGGCCACGGAGGAGCACAGGATGAAGATTTTAGTGTCAAATGTCAAAGAAGCCTTTTAGCCCTTACCCTGAGAAGACTTTGGGTATAGTTTAAAGCAGGATTTGACAGCCTTTTCTTAGAAGGTCAGAGAGTCCATCTTTTAGACTCTGTAGAACATATGGTTTCCACATTAGCAGCATGAATGTGGCCATAGGCGGTACTCAAATGAATAGGTGTGGCCTTGTTCCAATAAATACATTTGAGTTTTATGTTCCAGGTAATTTTCACATATCTCAGGTTACTGTTCTTTTAATTTTTTCAACCATTTTAAAATGGAAAAACCATTCTTAAAAACCACGTAAGAAAGAAAACTAATGAGGTTTAGCTGTGGAAGCTCAGGGTGGGAGATAGAAACTGGAAACCACCAGGAAGGAGGTGGTTGGCTGCTAAGCCATCTGAGGCTTCCCCGACTTGTAGCTACTCATTGGGCCCCAAATATACGCATGGCTGTGGTTCCTTCATACCTGCACCTCAGTGAAGGCCAACTGTGGCCCATGTGTGTGTGCTTCTATGCATATTGTGCAAGTATATTTGTATTACAGTTTTGCGGAGGCACAGAGGTTAACTCCCTGCTCAGGACCCCAGAGCTGGCAAGTGGCAGACTCTGAATAAGTTTGTTTCTTATTTTTTTTTAGGCTTATTATTTCACAGAGCAAGAGTAGGGGAGGGGCAGAGGGAGAGAGTCCCAAGCAGACTCTGTGCTAGGCGCAGAGCTCGATGCAGGGCTCGATCTCATGACCCTATGATCACGCCCAGAGCTGAAACCCAAGAGTTGGTTGCTTAACCGACAGATCCATCCAGGCACCCCAACTCTGAATAAGCTCTTAAGGAAGACTTATAGCCCCCCTGGTGCTGACAACATTCTTCTCCTATTTTTGCACCTTCTTAAATTTAAAATGGGGGCATCTGGGTGGCTCAGTTTGTTGGGCATCTGCCTTCAGCTTGGGTTGTGATCCTGGGGTCCTGGGATCAAGTCCTGAAATGGCTCCCTGCTCAATGGGGAGTCTGTTTCTCCCTCTTCCTCTGCTGCTCCCCGCTGCGTATGCTTTCTTGCTGTCTCTCAAATAAATAAAATATTTGAAAAAAAACTTTAATGCAAAAAGGCCTGTTGACAGGTGCACTCAGCTCTCAGCTGTATGTAGTTGCTCTTTTAAACAGTTCTAGTGTTAGAGCCAGTGCATTATCTCTGTTTTCTCTTGCCCAGATTGGCCTGTGTTCAGCGACCTTGACAGCATGGCATCCCGAGAGCACGACCATCTGGACAACCACCGGGTAAGGTGGAGAAGGACTGAGGGAGCAAATCTAGGAGGAATGGACTCACTGAATCCTCAGATCCGGAGGCAGGCAGCCCAGGTCTACTCCAGGCACTGCTCAGAGGGCACAGGGGATTGCAAGTAACACACAGCCTCCTGCCCAGGGCAGTGGTGTCATCTGAGAAGAGCTGGATCCATTGTAGTTCCCAAAGATGGTTAGAGATGAAGGAATCCAAATTACCAATAATGCAACCTTCTGGTAAATGTCAAGCAAGCTCAGCCCTGGGGTGGTCTGGTTACAAGTATGTGTGGGTTGCTGTCCTGGGGAAGGGAGCTATCCTGGGTTTCAGACAAGGAACTTTATAGCATAGTCCAATATGATGCTCTCAGGCTGGAAAAACAGGACAGGTTTCCAGCGGCCTCCCGGCGGCTCCGTGGTAGGAAGCTAAAGCATCGCATTTGCATTCATGAAAACCTATATTACAGGTCAAAATAAAAACTTAGGGGGGCACCTGGATGGCTTAGTTAAATGTCTGCCTTCTGCTTGGGGCATGATCCTGGAGTCCTGGGATTGAGCCCCGCATTACATTGTGCTCCCTGCTCAGCAGAGAGCCTCCTTCTCCCTCTGCCTGTGTCTCTGCCTCTCTCTGTGTCTCTCATGAATAAATAAATAAAATCTTTAAAAAAAAAAAAAAGAAACCAGAATATTTTTTCAGTTCACACAGAACAAAAGTCTTGGGGGAAGTGGAAGAGAAGTCTGTAGGTCAGGGCCTTTTCAGGATACACAGCTCCTTGGGGTGGGAGGATCCCTGGCCAGACCAGAGACCAAGGATTCCATTGTAAATGTTTGCATGCTGCGCCCCCCCCCCACAACTAAGACTGATCCATTTACGCTGGTGACATCAAGATTCTTTTATTTTTTTAAAAATTTTTAAAGATTTTATTTATTCATGAGAGACAGAAAGAGAGAGAGAGAGAGAGAGAGGCAGAAACACAGGCAGAGGGAGAAGCAGGCTCCATGCAGGGAGCCTGACGTCGTCTTGATCACTGGTCTCCAGGATCAGGCCCTGGGCTGAAGGCGCCACTAAACCACTGGGCCACCAGGGCTGCCCCTCTTTTATTTATTTATTTATTTATTTATTTATTTATTTATTTATTTATTTATTTATTTATTTATTTTATTTATTTGAGAGAGAGAGAGAGAGAGCGCACACGGAGAACATGAGCTGGGGAAGGAGCAGGAGGAGAGGGAGAAGTAGACTCCCTACTGAGTAGGGAGCCTGATACAGGGCTTGATCCCAGGGCACCGGGATCATGACCTGAGCCAAAGGCAGACACTTAACTACTGAGCCACCCAGGTGCCCCACCAACCTTCTTTTAAATATATATTTATTAAAGTAAAGGAAAAATGGCTTATCTATAGAGAAATGATAAGTATAAATTCACAAAAGTGGTTTTTACCTGGAGCAGGAGCAGGCTGGGGTAGGGAGGAGTGCATAAGAGGTCTGGATTTTAACAGTAATGTTTTGATTTATTTTAAAAATAAAAGACCTAGGGCAGCCCAGGTGGCTCAGTGGTTTAGTGCCGCTGTCAGCCCAGGGCATGATCCTGGAGACTTGGGATTGAGACCCACATCCGGCTCCCTGCATAGAGCCTGCTTCTCCCTCTGTCTGTGTCTCTGCCTCTCTCTCTCTCTCTCTCTCTTCTCTCTCTCTCTCTCTCTCATGAATGAATAAATAAATAAAATCTTAAAATAAAATACGAGATCTAGGGGCACCTGAGTGGCTCAGTGATTGAACATCTGCTTTGGCTCAGGTCGTGATCCCAGGATCCTGGGATCGAGTCCCACATCAGGCTCCCTGCAGGGAGCCTGCTTCTCTTTCTGCCCATGTCTCTGCTCTCTCTCTGTGTTTCTTATGAATAAATAAAAATGTAAAAATAAAAATAAAAGATCTAGGCTGGGGGGTGGGGCACCTGGGTGGCTTAGTTGGTTGAGCCACTCTTGATTTCAGCTCCGGTTATGATCTCAGGGTTGTGAGATTGAGCCCTGCACTCAGCATGGAGTCTGCCTAGGCCTCTCTTCCTCTCCCTCTGTCCCTTCCACTCTTCTCTCTCTCTGTCTTTCAAATAAATAATTAGGTAAATAAATAAATAAATAATCAATCAATCTTTAAAAGATCTGAAGAACTAGGGCCTAATGTTAGGAGCTGACAAAGTTAAGTGATAAGTGCATGTGAGTTCATTTAGTATTCTCTGTTCTTAGTGGCATGTTTGAAATACTTCTTAGGAGAACAAAAAAGAAAACATAAAAGTATGAGCTAAATAGTGTTGCAGGTGACATGTGGATATGGCCAGAATTGGATGCTGGTGGACAAATGATTGAAATTTTAGAACTGCTGAAGTATCTAGAAGAACAAAAAATATGTCACAGTTTTGGCAGAGGGCTTCATTGTAGTAAATCTTACTCTCAGTGCTACATTTGTGTCCATAGATCATATCTCAGAAACCAGCCTTTGTTTTTCTGCCTGTGAAATGGGTGAGCTGCTGTTAACAGTAGCACTTCCTCTGATCCACACTCAGTGGGTAATACCTCACTTCATCTTCATCCTTCAGTGTAGGTGCTCTAATGAATCCCATGGCCAAGGAAACTGCTGCCCAGGGCCTAGCGGGTGAGTCACAAAGTTCAGACTTGAGCCTAGGCAGTCTGGCTCCAGAGCCCGAGCTCTTTGCCATTACTTTGTACTGGTCTCTTGTCACCCAACCAGCAAGGACAGAGGAAAGAGAATGTTAACTGAGGTGATAAGACAAAGGAGAGAGAGCAAATCTGGCTTTGCTGTCCAGAAGTCACCACCACTCAAGGGACCACTGAGACCCTAGGATCATCTTTTCTCTACAGGACTCTGAGAACAGTGGAGACAGTGGATACCCCAGTGAGAAGCGGGGTGAGCTGGATGACCCAGAGCCCCGAGAACAGGTAAGGAACCCCCAGGAAATGAGACCAGACTGTTTTGTTGCCTCATTGTCCAGGAGGATGGAAAGGTGGAGGGAGGGGAGGGCAGGAGTGGATCTTGAGAACCTAATAGGTAAATTGATACATGAGATAATTTCAGATAAAAATAAATGCAGGACAGAAGATAAAACAGGGTAATGTGAACAAAAAAAAATTAGAAGGCAAGTGTGAGAGATTAGACAGGGTTGAAAATGTTGGACAACTCTTATGGCAAAGCTGGAAACTCTGGTTGCTGGGCAAAGAGGATGCTGGGTAGTAGGTTGGAAAAGTGCTAGAATAGGTGGAAGGGCCCAATTCCACACATGGTATTCCAGCATTCCTGGGGACTACTCCAAAGGTCTCCAAGGCAACCCATCAGCATCCTGGTGAGGGTGGCTCAGGCAATGGCTTCCACTTAGAGGTTTTGACGTGTCCCAGAGTTGAGTGTGAACATCCACGCCAGTCTTGCTGGAAATCCCTTGGTCTCAGCTTTGTTACTACAAATAAGACTGTTATGGGAGCTTTGGTAAGAGGAAGGACGTTTTCTTGGTGCTTGTCTGCCACGATCCTGTGCCTTTGAGTCATTTCCACCTGTGCATACAGAGAGGGTGAGAGGAAGGCTGTGGGCACACCAGCTTATTAGTCCTGCGTTGTTACTCAGCATCCTCTCTGCTTGGCACCCAAGAGTTCCAGCTGCCCTTCCTAGGAGGCAGGCTTGTCCCTTAAGAGAAGGGCCCCTGGAAAGAGAGTGCCCTGGAGTCCCCTGCATGGAGGGAAGGTGGGGACCAGTTCTTGGGAGCCAGGGCTGCTCTGTGACTCATTCTGCCCTTCTCCTCCCTCAGGGCCACTCAAACGGTAACCGGAAGTACGAGTCAGACGAAGACAGCCTGGGCAGCTCTGGACGGGTAATGCGCCCCAAGGCATCCTTGTCATGGCTGCATGCTTGCATTTTCTAACCTCTGCTTCTCCTCCCTTGTGTCACTGCTGTCTGCCCAGGCACTTCACATACCACCAGCTAATGGAAGATTTTTGCAAAGGAGCCAGTCCCTTTGGCAAATACTTTTTGAGGCCCTGATCTAGTAGGGATCTGTGGAGAGGAATAGAGAACAGGGTAGCCTGTCCTGGATGGGGCTTATAAGGGCCACAGCTCACATGTCAAAGTAATGCCCGTATAACCTCATAGCATTAGTTAATTTACTTCTTGCAACCACCCAATGAGACAGGCTAACATTATTCATCCCCATTTTACATATGAGAAAATGGAGATCTCTAGCAGCTTTCCCCAGCTTAGCCGGCAAATATTTCCAACAAGCATCTCAGGAGTTTGTTATCGGGCAGATGTAGGAAGACCAGCCCTCAGGAGCCCTTCTCTTGCTGACTCTGAAACATGCTTTGAACCTCTCACCTTCCAGCCTTTGCTAAGGCGAGTGTCCCACCTGCCAGCTCCTTTTCCCCACTGTGGTCACATCTCTTCAAAGCCTACCTGTTCCCCCAGACTGGTCCCCTTTGGCACCTCCTACAGAACCTTCCCCGATAGCCCCAGCAGGCTTGGCTTTTGCTCTGTCCGGACGTAGATCATTTACCCCGCGGTATTTATTTACCACATGGTACAAGGTCTCCGCATGATGTGGAGCAGAGTTGTTCAACCATGGTACTACTGACATTCTGGGCTGGGCCCTTCTTTGTCATGAGGGGTGTCCTGTACATTGCAGGATGTTTAGTGTGCATGTACACACAGCTGCCTGGCTCTGTCCTGTAAGGACCTTTGGAAGAGCGTCTTTAACTGGGAACATGACACATTTTCAAAACCCATTCCCCAAAGCATCCTGTTGATTCCCAGAGAAAAGCGGAGTGGGTGTGCTATAGGGCCTAAAGTCAGACTTTTCTGATGTATGGGTCGCAGGCCAAGGGGGCAGCTTAGTGTCCAGCTTCCTCAAGCAAACCCTGCCTGATAAATGAAGGGGAAGCACTTTGAACTGCTGCAGTGCATTCTGCTAGCCTTTGTGTCCTGGTGCTCTAATATGCTCTCTGTGCCCATAAATTGGCAGGATTTGAGGGATTAGAAATGGAGTTGTGTTTGTCCAAGAAAATTTGACACCTTTAAGGGCTTGCCCTCTGCATCTTGCCAGCCAGGCTTGTGCAGTAGGAGCAGCCGACGGCTGGTGGTGGCACCTGCATCCCCGTCCCTTGTTCCCTGGCCTGTAAACCACTGTGCTTGGTTCTCTCCTTCAGGTCTGCGTGGACAAGTGGAATCTCCTCAACCCCTCCCGCCTCCACCTGTCAAGACCTTCTGCTGTGGCCCTGGAAGTGCAAAGGCTTAATACTCTGAACCTTGAAAAGAAAATCGGGAAGTCCATTCTGGGGAAGGTACCAGTGATGCCCATTTCAGAGCCCTCTTGCCACTGACCCAGAGCTTGGCCCACGCTTCTACTCCGCTAACGGTTCCTCCTGCAGGCTGGCTGGGTGGCCCTGGGGTGCAGGTGCTCAGGCAGCTGAGCCAACACCTAAGTCTGTGTGGCAGGTGCATCTAGCCATGGTGCGCTACCATGAGGGTGGACGCTTCTGTGAGAAGGGCGAGGACTGGGACCGCGAGTCAGCCGTCTTCCACTTGGAGCACGCAGCCGACCTGGGCGAACTGGAGGCCATCGTGGGCCTGGGGCTCATGTGCTCACAGCTGCCCCACCACATCCTGGCTGATGTCTCTTTGAAGGTGAGGGGTGGAAGGGACCCAGCCATGATCTCCGAGTTGTGAGTTTGAGCCCCATATTGGTTGGAGAGATTACTTAAAATTAAAATCTTTAAGGTGCACCTGGGTGGCTCAGTTGACTATGCATCTGATTAAGCAGTTAGCATTGATTTTAGCTTAGGTCATGATCTCAGGTTGTGGGATGGAACCCCGTGCTAGCTCTGCACAAGTTGTGGAGCCTGCATAAGATTCTCTACTTTCCTCTCCCTCTGCCCCTCCTTCTCTCTCTCTCTCTCTCTCTCTCTTTCTTTAGTATTTTGTTTATTCATGAGAGCCAGAGGCCAGAGACATAAGCAGAGGGAAGAGAAGCAGGCTCCATGCAAGGAGCCCATTGTGGGACTCGATCCTGGGACTCCAGGATCATGCCCTGAGCCGAAGGCAGATGCTCCACCACTAAGCCATCCCCCACTCTCCCTCTCTTAAAAAAAATAAAATCTTTAAGAAAAAAAAATTGTTGATAATCTCACAGTTGGTTGTCACGAGACTGTAGAGCTGGCTGCAGCATACTGCTGCCTTTGGCCTGTTGCCCCAGTATCTGCCGCAGAGCCTGGCACAGAGAGGACACTCAGAGGGATCTGAGGGCTGAATAAAGTAATCTCAGAGCCCAGAATGAGTGGTGAGGGGCCAGGACTGGGGGAAATCTCCTTGTGACCTCAAGCTGTTTACATAAACCACACCCTGGCAACTCTGTAAAGGGATTTATAAGCCATTTCAGTTTCCCCATCTGTAGGCTTTCCAAAGGCCTTTCTCTGGGGGATGGACTCTGGCAGCTTCCCCTAGCAGGAGTGTGGTTGGACAGAGCTTCGCGGTTAGGATAGGGCAGGCAGGAAGGAAGTGAGCTGTGTCCCAGCAGGCTTCTGGCTTAGCAAGTAAAATGGTGGGCATGTGCCCGGAGAAGCCGCTGTGTGCTCTACAAAGCCCATCACCCATTTTCTACAATGCCACCCTTGTTTTTTTTAAACGATTTTATTTATTTGTCAGAGAGAAGGAAAGCACAAGCAGAGGGAATGGCAGGTATAGGGAGAAGGGAGCCTAATGTGGAGCTCAATCCTAGGACCCTGAGATCATGACTAGAGCTGAAGGCAGATGCTTAACCGACCGAGCCACCTAGACATCCCGTTCAATGCTGCTTTCTTTGCAACTTTTGTAGTTGTTTTCTTGCTAAGACATTTATTCACTCAGCACATTCTTTTTGAGACTCTCCTACACTTGGCTCTGTCCTAAGTTCCTGCTCTCAAGGACCAGACTTCAGGTGGAAAAGGTCATAGTAACAGACTGTAATTAACAAATAAGAATCTTACAACAGAATTAAAAATAGCCTCTATTGAGCACTTCCTGTGCCAGGCATTATTCTAATATGCTGGGGAAAAATATGACAGGGAATGTAACTGAAAGTAGCTAGATAGGCCTCTTGTATTAGGACACAGGTTCTAGCTGCAGGGGAGGCTAAGAAATGTGGTCTTCAGGTGGTCAGCCAAGTGCCGGCAAAAATGTGGCAGAGGAGGATGGATTTGAGGACAACAGGTGGTTCCTGCCATGCTTCTTGAAGCCCGAAGATTGGGAAGGGCCTTGTGGGCTGATATGAGGGTTTGGGATTTCTCTGAGTGAGATAAGAAGCCATGGAGCAGCTTTTGAGAGAGTACTGTGACCTGACTTGGTCAGGCATCTCTGTGGCTGCTGCTATTGGAAGGATCTTGAAAGAGCAGAATGGAAGCAGGTAGGAATGTGCAGTGTTGGTGGGAATGTAAAATGGTGTGGCCACAGTGGGAAACAATTGGACTATTCCTCCAAAGGCTAAGCATAGTGATACATGTGATCCAGCAATTGCACTCCTAGGTATCTACCCAAGAGAATAAAAACACACATCTGCTTGAAAACTTGTAACAGATATTCATAGCAGCATTATTCATAATAGCCAAAAGGTGGATACGATCTACCAACTGATAAATAAAATGTGGTGTATTCATACAATGGAATGTTATTTGGCCAGAAAAAGAACAAGGCACTGATAAAATAAAACCTTTATGCTGAGTTTTTTTTTTTTTAAGATTTTATTCATTTATACATGAGAGATACACACAGAGAGAGAGAGAGAGAGAGAGGCAGAGACACAGGCAGAAGGAGAAGCAGGCTCCACACAAGGAGGCTGACTTGGGACTTGATCCTGGGTCTCCAGGATCACACCCTGGGCTGCAGTCGGCACTAAACCACTGTGCCACTGGGGCTGCCACCTTTTATGCTAAGTTAAAGAAACGAGTCACTGCAGGCCACATAATGTATGATTGCATTTATATAAAGTGTCCAGAATAGAGCAATTTCTAGGCCAGTGGTTACTTAAAGCTGGGTGGGATAGGGGCATTTGGGAGATGATAGTGGGACGGTATGATCTTTTTGTTTCTTCTTGGTCTAATGAAAATATTCTGAAATTGATAATGGTGATAGTTGCACATTCTGTGAATATACTAAAACCACTGAATTATGTGCTTTAAGTGGATAAATTATATGGTATGTGAATTACATCTCAATAAAGCTGTTAAAAACTTTAAACAATAAATAAAAACTTTTATTTTTTTAAAGATTTTATTTATTTGAGAGAGAGTGAGTGAGAGAGAGAGAGCACACAAGCAGGGGCAGAGGGAGAGGGAGAAGCAGATTCCTCTGCTGAGCAGAAACCCTGACATGGGGCTCAATCCTGGGTCCCCAACGACCATGACCTGAGCCAAAGGCTTAACTGACTGAATCACTCAAGCACCACCCCCTTGAAGCAGGGAGCCCCACTGGAGGCAAGAAATGATGTAGCTCTCTGGAGGAATCGGAGCAGATGGAGTACAGTGAGCCAGAGTAGGCTGAGCTTGCATTCCTCCTTGCCTCATCTCTGTCTCTCTCCCCCTCTTTGGTTTGTACTGACAGGAGACAGAAGAGAATAAAACCAAAGGATTCGAATACTTACTGAAGGCAGCTGAAGCTGGCGACAGACAGTCCATGATCCTGGTGGCTCGGGCTTTTGACACCGGCCAGAATCTCAGCCCAGACAGGTACTGTGGCTGTCACTCAGGGATTGCTGGTGGGATCTTGGGCTGCAGGTGGGGACCTCCCATCAGTATCAGCACAGACCCGGGTTCTGGGCTCAGCTCCCCTAGACCCGCCTACTGGGGACAAGTTAACTTCACCTCCCTGAAGTCAGTCTCTTCATTGTGTGAAGTAGGAATAATTAAAGAACCTGTATCCCAGGGTGGTTGTGTAAGGGTTAATTGAGATGATGCCTATAGTACTCACGGTGTTGGGAGATACAGCGTGAGATAAATGACAGACATCTTAGCCATTATGTGAAAAGATTTCTTTTGATCCAGAGTGTTTATCCCTAGATAAAAGGTTTAAGGGTGATTATTTTCATTTATTTATTTTATTTTATTTTATTTTAAAGATTTTATTTATTTATTCATGATAGAGAGAGAGAAGAGAGAGAGAGAGGCAGAGACACAGGCAGAGGGAGAAACAGGCTTCATGCCGGGAGCCCGACGCGGGACTCGATCCCGGGACTCCAGGATCAGGCCCTGGGCCAAAGGCAGGCGCTAAACCACTGAGCCACCCAGGGATCCCCTTCATTTATTTTTTTAAAGAACACTTTTATTTTTAAAAATATCTTTAAAGATTTTATTTATTTATTAGAGAGAGAGAACATGAGTGGGGGGGACGGGGAGGGAGAGGGAGAAGCAGAATTCCTACTGAGGAGGGAGCCTGATGCGGGGCTCGATCCCAGGACCTTGGGATCATGACCTGAGCCAAAGGCAGATGCTTAACCAACTGAGCCACCCAGGCGCCCCAAAGAATACTTTTTATGTATGTATGTATTTATTTATTATTTTTAAGAGACAGAGAGTGTAGGAGGAGGGACCGGTGGGGAGGAAGAGAGAGGATCTGTGTCCCCACTGAGCACAGAGCCTGCAGGGCTCAGTCTCACAACCCTGAGATCATGACCTGAGCAGAAATCAAGAGTTGGTTGCTTAACCCACTGAGCCACCCAGGTGCCCCTCTACTTTTATTTGTATTATTTTTCACTTCTGAGAGGGAGGAGGGAAGGAAGCAAGCTCAAGGAGTGGTTCAGTCTTGGTATGAGTTTTCAGGGTGATTCTGAGTCTCCTGGAGACTATGGCTCTGCAAGTGCCAGCACTTTTCCAGCTGTCCCTCAGGCTGAGATGCCAGGACTGGTTTCTGTAGTGGGAGGAAGAGAGGGTAGCCCAGCTTCACCTCATCTCCTAGGCTTAGCCAGTGGGAAGTCCCAGTGGTCCCAACAGTAAAGATCATTTGGGGGATTGAACTGGTCATGGGACCCATTGCTCAGCCCTGTGGCACCCCTTGGATCTCAAATACCCCTGCTGTCCTCTGGAGCCCTGGCTTTCTGGATGGAAGCAGGGTGGGCACTTTCATTGTCTATACCTACAAGGTTGGAACAGCCTGGAACTTCCCTCCTCTTTGGGTCAAGGTCTTATCTCCCCTCCCTGGGTTTAAGGAAAGTCAGGACTGTGGCTGGGTCATATCCAGCTCTCAGTGTCTAAAATGTCTTGTTATGTGACATCCTGCCTGTATTACATATGCAGTCCAAGGATTTATCAAATTCTACTATGTAACAATAATGCCTCTTCTATTTGGACCACATCTATATATGTGTGATTTTATTTCACTGAGAGCAAGAATCGGGTGTCCTGCATCTCTTGAATCCCAGCACTTATTGCAGGGCCTGGGTTAGTGGTTGAATGCATGAACCGACACTTCTCTCTGACATAGAACAAGTATATTTTAGCTTCATTGTATGGGTGACTCAACTAGTTCTGAGAAGCGAAGGGACTTGCCCATGGTGAGATAGCTAGTAAGTGACAGGGCCAAATCTGGGGCCCTCTCCCCTCTCCTCTCTCCTCCAGTCCGCTATGTACTGGCCTGCTTCTCCGTGGACTCAGAGCCATACTGGCATGGAGAGGCGGTGAACAAAAAAGACATGACTTGCTTATGTCAGGTCAAATGCCGACCTGTCCGGCGCCCATTGATTGCAGTGGGGAAGCAGGGCTTGGGTGGGAGGGCCTGGAGGTGGGCGTTGAGTATTTGTTTCTGAGGTCCTTAAGAAGTCTTTGCTCTGTGTGTTTTCTCTTCATGCCTTTGTTTGCTTTTTATTCAAGATGATGGGGGGGGTTGTTTTTAAGAATTTTTTAGTATTAAGGCTGTCAACTCTTAGGCATAGGCTTCTGTCTCTCTCTCTCTCTCTCTCTTATTTTTTTTAAGATTTAAAAAATTTTTTTGACAGAGCCAGAGAGCACAAGTGGGAGGAGTGGCAAAGGGAGAGGGAGAAGTGGGTTCCTGCTGATCAGGGAGCCCTATGCTGGGCTCAATCCCAAGATCCTTGGATCATGACCTGAACAGAAGGCAGACGCTTAATGGACTGAACCACCCAGGCACCCCCATAGGCTTCTCTTTTTTAAAAAATGTTTTTCAGAGATGAGTATCATCAATGGGGGGTGGAGGGTGGCACATGTACCTCTGGATGACCATTGTTACTGGGTTTGGGACAACTGGTTTTTAATATTCATGTAGTTAAATCTATCACAATTTTCTTTTATAGCTTCTGCTATAGTCATTTTCTTATTCTTCTTCCTCATTCCAAGCAGTTCCAGCCTCTTCCATTCAGGGAGCGTTAATTAAGGGCCAGCTCTGGGTAAGGCAGGGCCCCATGTAGGCCCAAATTTGCATTTATGTGGTTTCAACATTCTCAGAAGTGACCGTTTGATACAGGGAAGGAACAGTCATTGGAAATTATGAGGCAGGGTGGGCACCCTGACCACTGGGTGTAGAGTCGGGTGGGGGTGGGCAGGGAGAGATTAGGCCCTTTCTCCTCTTTCCTGTATAATGTTTTTGGGGCAATTCTCCTTTGCCCTTCTAGACTGGGGAGGGTCAAAGCTGAAAAGAGTGAGATCACATCATTTAGTGGCTCCTAGTCCACTATTAAAATCCTAGTTTGTTGGATATATCACTGGTAATTTTCAAATGAGTTGCCCTTTGTATGAAATAAAATGGAATCAATGTTATCTCCTGAACCCCATCCCAGCCAGCTACTTGTTTACATTTATACATTCAGCAGACATTTAGAGAGGCTAATCTATTTGCCAGGCCCTGGAAATGCAACACTGGATAACACAAAGTTCCTGCCTTCTTGGAGCTTATGTTCTAGCCAGGGGAAACCATGATACACAAGTGAATAAGGAAACAGGAGAATTAGAGATTGAGTTAATTGTAGGAAGTAGGCTGTTTGGGTGTGCCTCTGATGAGGTGACATATGAGCTGAGGTTGGGGAAATGTAGAATCAGGTATGGAAAGACAAAGAATGAATGCTCCAAGTGGAGGAAACAGCAGGTGCAAGGGCCAAGGAGCAGACAGGGTCAGGCATGTTCAGGGAAGAGAAAGGGGCCCAGCCAGTCTGGCATGGAGGGAGCTTTAATGGGTTAATGGGAGCCAAGGCAGGGGTAGATCCAGGTCAGGTAGGACCTCAGAGGAGAGGCCAGCAAGTCACTGGAGCTGTTTGCTCCTGGAACATTTCACGAGACCTATAGACTTTCTTATCTGCATCTCTCTTTGTTCTTTCCTGATGTGCTATAAATAGTTACTCACATGCTTAGTACAATCTAAGAAAAAGAGCCCGCTGCCCTGTTTGCTCTGTATTTCACATTGTTCAGATTTGATTGGAACCTGTGTATGCCCTTGGTGGCTTGGCCTTCTATGTGCTATAGTAGGGAAAAAGAGTTGAGAGCTGAGGGGTGGAGCCACTCTCTCTGAAGAGAGAGAAGCCCACTCTTCTGGGGGGAGCCCTGTGTTGTGCTGGAGGAAAGCCAGAGTTGGCTAGCACTGGGAGGGCATAGGATGGGGCTGAGTGGTTACTGTTAGCTTGGATGGTTCTGGAGGCCTTGGCAGAGGGTCCCCCACCCACCTTTTCTCCTACTTGAGTCATAGGGCAGATTGGCTGGTGTTCTAACCACTGCAAATGCTAGCCCACAGTGTGATTTTATACAAACTAGGAATATTGCCCTCTTCCTTAAGATACTCTACATCATCTGTTGGAAAATTCTGTAATACACCAATCTTGCTAAGGAAAGCTACTTGACTGCTGTCTTAATATCTAAACCTGCAATGTGAATGACACCCCGTAGATATAGCATTGGGTACTGTGGGTCGTGAATCATAGGTGGTGGCCCCACTGGGATCCCTGATTTGCCCCTCCTGCTGATGGGCCTCCTCCCTCCTGTCTGTTGCCATGGTAACCTCTAACTTTATCTCTCTATCTCTATCTCCTGGAAGGTCCCAGGACTGGCCAGAGGCTCTGCACTGGTACAACACTGCCCTGGAGATGACAGACTGTGATGAGGGCGGCGAGTATGATGGGATGCAAGATGAGCCTCGGTACATGCTGCTGGCCCGGGAGGCTGAGATGCTGTTCACCGGTGGCTGCAGGCTAGCGAAGGACCCACAGAGATCAGGTAAGGTCTGGCGGACCTGCCCCTGGTGGGGGATGGGGAGCAGGGCTGGGCTGGAAGGGACATAATTCCTGTCTCAGTGGAAATTATAGCAAAATGCAAGGCTGAGTCTCTTCTTTCATTGGAGAGAAGAAGGATTCCTACTGGCCCTGTATGCCTCCTGGATGCCCATGTGGTGCTGGTTCAGGTGGGGGCTTTATGGAGCTGGTATACAGATGAACATTCTTATTTCAGTAGTTACATATTAGGAGTTTGGTAGTTTTGCAATTTTAAAGATTGAACTGACATTTTCATAAAATTCACCATTTTTATTTTCATTTGTTTATTTATTTTTAAATATTTATTTATTCATGAGAGACACACACACACACAGAGAGAGAGAGAGGCAAAGACATAGGCAGAGGGAGAAGCAGGCTCCCTGCAGGGAGCCCGATGTGGGACTCCATCCTGGGACTCCAGGATCACGCCCTGGGCTGAAGGCAGTGGTAAACCGCTGAGCCACCTGGGCTGCCCCAAATTCACCATTTTTAAGTGTATGTATGGTTCAGTGGCTTTTAGCCCCCAGGTGCCCCCCCATTTTGTTTATCAATTCATTAGTTGATATGCCTGATCTGTATATTTTTTCTATTATATAATAAACATACTGAACTCCTGATTTCATAGGATGAGCCTAAATTTAAGTTTTTTTAAGGTGGTATTAAAAAAAAACAAACTAAGCAAATAATAGTGGAATTCTATAGTCCCTTATTTAAAATTTCTAAATCCAAAAAAACTCTGAAAACCAAGTGTTTCTGTATCCATTGCACAGATTTTCTTGGAAGCAAAACCCCTCCAGAGCTGACATGAGGTTGTTAATAATCGTTATTTCTTCTAGTTTATTTCTTCCACTTTTTCACGCATTCCCACAATTGGGTCTTATAAAAATCCTCTGCCTGATTCTCATTGGCTGAAATGCAATCACCCACCCACCTCCTAAGCCAATCACTGAGCTCATTGAGATGGCTTACTCTGATTGGCTGCGCCGCAGTCTGGTTGTCTGATTGGCTCTGTGTAATTCCTCCGGGCCTGGTGGGAATGGAGGGAGTGCTCTGATTGGCCAGGCAGGAACCACGTGTCCACCCGAGTTCCAGGGAGGTTGAGGGGATAGGGAGTCGTTTGGCTCCTTAAAGAAATCTCAGGGAGGGGTCGGGGAAGGGGCGCTGGCAAAAACGACAGGTGATTCACCTCTTGGTGCCCCGTTTTGCTCTTCTTCAGGCGATTTGTACACACAGGCAGCCGAAGCGGCGATGGAAGCCATGAAGGGCCGGCTGGCCAACCAGTACTACCAGAAGGCGGAGGAGGCCTGGGCGCAGATGGAGGAGTAGCTTGCCCGGGAAATCGCTGCCGGCCAGCCCCGAGCAAGAGGGCTAAGACGCGGCGGGGGGGGGGGGGGGGGGCGACTTATTGACTTATCTGGGTTTTTTTTTGGCGGGAAAGGGCAAGTATTTTTAGTGTGTTGTAAATTAACTTTTGTATTTTGTTTTTTGACTCTTGAAAATGTCTTTTCTACGAGCGGAGACACTTAGTTGTCCTTTGGGGCAGCATCTTGGGGAGCAGGAATTGAAAAAGCAGCCTAATGAACCAACATATGGTTTTAAGGGGTTTTTTGTTTTGGGGGTTTTTTGGGGGGAGTTGGTCATGTGATCTAAGAAAATGCTTTACCACCATGGATAAAAAATTAGGGCTTTGCTCACCGGCTGTTTCAGGCTGTACTGAAATGAAATCTCAGGTCCACAGAATTTGTGTCCTGAGTTGTGATGGGGAAGGTAGAGCTGCACATCAACTTTCCATGGGGTGTGTGTTTTCATGACAGAGTGCCAAGCCTTAATTCTCAGAGCATTTGGAAGCATGCATGGCATTGTTCTGTGGATATGAGATTGCACGGTACCCGGCCCCCTTCCGCTGGTGGCAAAGGCCCGCCCACTGACCCTTTGCTAATCTTTTAGTTTAATTTCCTTCCCGAGTGCAACTGATTTTCTGGAATACAGCCAAATTACGTTTTGTAGCATGACTTCTACAGTGGGCTTTATAAAACAGGTTTGATTTTTGTATGCACACGTTTACTACCTCTAATTTATCCATCGGCTAGTGTGGAATTGGGTGCGCCTCAAACCTTTTATATGTAAGAACAGCAATTTGGAATTGGAGCCTTTCCTCCAAACAGACATACTCTGCATCTCAGCGGCAGCATCCACGGTGTAACTGAAGTGTCTTTGTACGGTGTTTCTCTGTGTTTTCTTAGCATCTCACGTTGGTATGTAGGCTCTGTTCCCCAGCCCCTGTCCTTGCCATTTTCTGCTTGAAGCTGGGCTGATTTTCTTGTAAATTGCAGCAGTAAGAGTTCAGCAGCAGCCCCTTGAGATTTATCCAAGATGTTTGAGGATGAGAGGGCAAGAACTCTAAACACTCATTAATTCCAGTAGTTTCCCCAGGGCCAGGCTGCGTCTCTCTGTACTTAATGAGCTTTCCCTTTAAAAGGAATAAGACTTAATATGACTCAGCTGGTGTGTCAAAGCAAACACACTGCTTTGATCGAGCCCAAGTGCCAAAGCAGCTCTCTGTGTTTAAAAATGAAAACATAAAAAAGCAGAATATGACATACAGACCGTTCTTATCTATTAAAACAGCTCTTTCAACACATTACTGTTAAGTGCTGTGGAGTCAGTGAACCTGTGTATGCATTGTGTTCGGAACTGCAGACTGTGCCGTAGGGGAAAAAAATCAAACATACTCAGAATTACCCTTGAAAAATATCCTTTAAACCACCTGTAAATTACAGTATCCCTCATTTTTGTGTGGGTTCACCACAACTGGCTTTTTTTTTTAATTTTTATTTTTATTTATGATAGTCACACAGAAAGAGAGAGAGAGGCAGAGACACAGGCAGAGGGAGAAGCAGGCTCCATGCACCGGGAACCCGACGTGGGATTCGATCCCGGGTCTCCAGGATCACGCCCTGGGCCAAAGGCAGGTGCCAAATCGCTGCCCCACCCAGGGATCCCCACAACTGGCTTCATTTATGAGTTGGGACTAATCACCGTTTTCATTTGTACTCAATCAAGAAGTTGGCTTGCATTAGGTTTTTTTGTTTGTGTGTTTTAAACCAGTGCATATAGTTAAATTGCATATGGTAAATGTACATGAGAAGCGGCTTGCTTGTTACTTATCTCTTACCTCTGGTAAAGGGCCCGATAGTAAATATTGTAGGCTTTGTAGGTCCATATGGTCTCTGTTGTAACGACTCAGTCCTGGTGTTATAGTGAAGAAACACCCAGGAACAGTACCTAAATGAATGAGTTTGGCTGAAGTTCCAATGAAACTTTATTTACAAAAATAGCCTGCCCAGGCAGTAGTTTGCTGACTCCCACTCTAATCCTTGACAAAGGGTTACTATAGTATGCTCTGAAGGCAAAAGCTATCTCAGTTTTTCAGCTTTCAGTGCTCAAAAACACAGTGCTTTGGCAAAGTAGTCACTCAATAAATGTGTGAGCAAATGGAGAGCCAACCCTAGTCAGCACCTAATCCGTGGCTCTGATTTCTTTCAACCAGTTAATGACTTGTTGTCTGAATTGGCTTTCAGTGTCACTCCTCCAGTTCCATCCACCCACCTCTATGGCCTTAACTCAGCTAGCTTCTCTTCCAGGAGGCTGGGATGGCCTGGATAGATAGCTAAGCAAATGCTTATTGAGGAGCAGTGAGAGTACAATGATATGCAAGATACCAAGATCCTGAGCCAGTAGGAGAACTTACCCCACCTTCGAAACCTAGTTTTGTGTCTGCTAAAGGTGGTTAGGGCATCTTTTTTGTTTCAGATTCTGGGCATGCAAAAGACAGAGAACCCCAGGACATTCCAGCCCAATTGGGAAGACATCAGAGACCATCTTCAAGTGCAAGGGGCAGGTGAAGGAGATCAGCAGAGTCTGGGATATAGTCCCATATCTTCCATCATAGATGGAGAAACCAAGGTTTTGAAAGATCAGACTCTCGCTGTGACCCTGGTGGTTAGCAGCTAGCTGCAGCTAAGATTTGAAAGCTGCTGTTATTTAGAGGATCCTGGGAATAAAAGTTAAAATTAATCTAGAGTATAATGTCCCTTTCAGTTTTGCTATAGGTTTTGTTTCTTTTTTTTAAAGCAGACTTTTTGGATGTAAGGAGGGAAAAAACATCCCCAACCCCAGTGCATCTGAATATCCCTTCCCGTCCCCTCCCCTGGGGCATTGTGGGAATTCATCATCAAATGCAAACTTGGGGAACCAAGCCAGGTAAATCACCCTGGTTGCTATCTTAGTGACTTCCTTTCATCCCAACACATTTGTCTGCAGTACTGGACATGATTTACAAATCAACACGTTTACAAAGGTATATGCAGCTTATGTGGGGGAAAGGGGACAATATGCATTTTCTCTGCATGGATTTATGCCTTTTACTCCTGTTTCTTGTCTCAAGGTAACCATTTAACCAAGATGTGGTGGACCTTGGGTGGGGCCCAGAGGAATGGCCTGTGTTATAAATTTATTTTTGCATATGTACCAAGTTCCATATCATCTTTTCAAATAAAGTGGTTTCTTTCTTTCCGGTCTCAAATACAAATGATTCCTAGTAATAAGGGACAAAGTGACTGCCTGGATGAAGTAGCTGTCTGGAGGGCCCAGGGTTCATCTGAAAGGAGCAGGTGGGATTCAGCTCCAAGTGATTGTCACCATGGGAAGTGTGTGGGCACAGTGTCACCCCATTTTCCAGTCTTTCAAGAGCTGCTGAAATTGGATTTGTTAATGCAAGTTCTCCTGATTTTTAATATTTTTAATAAATTCTAGTTTTTAAAAAAATTTTGTCTAGATTTGGCCCTACATTGTCCTTTGCTTTCAAGTATATGAACTTTTTTTCCTGATTTTTCTCATCCGTAAAACAGAATAATCTTTACATTTCAGGGGATCCCTGGGTGGCTCAGCGGTTTAGCGCCTGCCTTTGGCCCAGGGCGCGGTCCTGTAGTCCCGGGATCGAGTCCCACGTTGGGCTCCCGGCATGGAGCCTGCTTCTTCCTCCTCCTGTCTCTCTCTCTCTCTCTCTCTCTCTCTCTCTCTCTCTCTATATATCATATATATATATATATATATATATATATCATAATAAATAAATAAATAAATCTTATAAATAAAGGGGATCCCTGGGTGACTCAGAGGTTTAGCGCCTGCCTTCGGCAGGGGGCGTGATCCTGGAGTCCCGACATCAAGTCCCGCGTAGGGGCTCCCTGCATGGAGCCTGCTTCTCCCCCTCTGCCTGTGTCTCTGCCTCTCTCTCACTCTATGTCTATCATGAATAAATAAAAAATCTTATAAAAAAATCTTTACATTTCGAGTTGTCATAGCCTCAAAAAAGGTAATGCATGTTAAAGATGCTTTGTGATCCAGAACTTAAGAAAATCGTGGTTGCTGGTATGAGCATTTGGTTTCAGATTAATGCTTTTTTTAACTTCAAGAAATTTGAACTTAAGCCTAGTACATTGAAGTCACATACTTTGGTCCATTTCCTCCTGAGTCCCCACCAAAATGACAGAAAGGAGATTTTCTTAATGGCATAAGCCCATGAGGCTGGAAAGCAGAGGGATTATAATTGAATTAGCACTGAGAGCCCCCCCAAGGACTGAGGCATTGGCACCAGGAACCTCTGGAAGGGAAAATGAAATGGGTGAAAAATACAAGGTCAATTGAAGACGACTTAAAAGTATGGGACAGCTACACTAGCTCACCTCCCCTGCAGCAACAGCCAACGTGTCCATCACCCTGAAGAACCCTGGGAGGCCAAGCACAGTAGAGAGTCCAACTACTCTACAGAAAATAGGGCTAAGGGGTGTCTGGGTGGCTCAACTGATTGAGCGTCTGCCTTTGGCTCAGGTCATGGTCCCAGGGTCCTGGGATCAAGCACTGCATTGGGCTCCCAGCTCAGTGGGGAAGTCTACTTCTCTCTGCCCCTGCTCATGTGAGCTCTCTCTTGTTCACTCTGTCTCTCAAATAAAATCTTTAAACCCTTTAAAGCCTCATTCTTGAATAGCCAGCCAAAGATCCCCATGTCCCTATGTAAGCATCCATAACCATTTCATACAAAAAACACCAGAACAAACCAACAGAAGAAACCATCCTGGAGGAAACAAAATGCGGGAAGAAGGAAACCTTAGACAAAAAACTATCCTTAATTTCCTCAGCTAAGATATTGCAGGGGCGCTTGGCTGGCTCAGTCAGTGGAGAGAGTGACGCTTCATCCCAGGGCTGTGGGTACAAGCCCTGTATTGAGTGTAGAGATGACTTAAAAATAAGAATCCTTTCAAAAAAATTGCACCCACAAAAGAACAGATGCAGTTCTAAAAATGCACACAACAAAAGAGCTCTTGTAAATTGAGTATGTTCTTACAGAAATGAGTAAATTAAATTACAGGGTTGGAAAATAATGGAAGAGATCTCCCAGGAAGTGGAACAACAACATCAATTTTTGGGGTACTGCTGTTGGGGTCCCGAGCCCACTGTCAAGAAAGGATCCTTGAGATGTCTTTGGTGCAAAAAAAGGTGATTTTATTAAAGCCCCAGGGACAGAGCTGCTGTCGCCCCAGAATTGTGAGAAGCAACCAGATTATATACTTTGGGGTTGGGGGAAGTAAAGATAAGTTTCAAAAGGATTTTCATATGCTAAAGATGACTCAGGATATTGGAAGCCTTGTTATCTCAAATCAAGATGGTTTTTCCATCTAGCAAGGTGTGAACATTGCAGTTGGGAGCTTCCAGGATGAACATTATATATGCTCTAACTGCCTCAAGTATTTATCAATAGGCTGCAGGTTATAAGGGCATTTAATTTTATCTGTATTTCCTCCTGCCTTTTTTCCCCACATAATCAGCCAAAAAAAAAATAGATGAAAAATGTGAAAGAAAATTCTAGAAGTCAGAGGAACCGGCAAACAGCTGTACACTGTTCTACAATGGAACACTTAAAATCACCACCACTTTTGTGAAGAAATTAGCTAAGAACATCCCAAGATTATATATGTGTGTTTTTTGTTGTTGTTTGGGGTGGTTTTGTTGTTTTAACATTTTATCTTTGCATAATCTCTATATCCAACACAAGGCTTGAATTCACAACCCCAAGACCAACAGTTACCTGCTCTTCCACTCTTCCAACTGAGCCAGCCAGCCGCCCCTGTATGTGTGTTTTTTAATGATCTTTCCCTTGGCCATTTAATATTTGGGATCAGAGTTCTAAGATCTTAATTTCATAGATAAGATTTTCATACGGGCTTTGAATAGAAATTGAACTTGCATGTAGATATAGTGTCATTTTTACTAAACTATATTTGCCATGTGTTGATTAAAATTTAAAGAAGTGAACTCAGTCCTACCAGTATACAAATCATTTATCAGTAAGCAAATATTTTTACTGTAATACAGTGAGGGTTCCAGAAAGATTTGGTTTCTTTCCTTCCACCTTGACATACTTACAAGTATTTCAGATCACCAAAAGAAACCCTGGTTAGGACAGGGTTTGGTATTTTCCTTTTATGAGCCATTTGAAACAGCTACTTGTTTTTCTTCCTACACATTTCTTTCTGACTTAATACATATATTTAGTTTTCCCAATTATAAACTAAATTATTGAGAGTTGGAGTTCTTAATATTAAGTAGTATTTATTGGGGAAAAACAAGTGTAATAGTCTTAATTAAGACAAAATAGTTTTGTTTTTTTTTTTTTTTTTTAGTCTAAGAGCCTAACTTACGAGTTTGAGGCAGTTAGAGGGGAGAGAATCTTTTAAAAAAAATTCAAGAATATTTCTCAGAGGGGTCCCTGGGTGGTGCAGCGGTTTGGCGCCTGCCTTTGGCCCAGGGCGCGATCCTGGAGACCAGGGATTGAATCCCACGTCGGGCTCCCGGTGTATGGAGCCTGCTTCTCCCTCTGCCTGTGTCTCTGCCTCTCTCTCTCTCTCACTGTGTGCCTATCATAAATAAATAAAACAAAAAAAATTAAAAAAAAAAGAATATTTCTCAGAACTGAAGGATGTATGTTTCCCAGAATAACAGGCCGCACTACCTAACACAATGAATAAAAGTAGACCTATGCCAAGATTCATCTTCATGTAATTTCAGAACAATGAGAACAAGGGATCCTGAAAGCTTCCAGAGGGAAAGAACCAGTTTTATACAAAAGATCGAGAATCAAAATAACATCAAACATCATCTCAACAGTAACATTGGAAGTTGGAAGATGATGCCTTCTAAATTCTGAGGGAAATGCTTTTAACATAACACTCATATGTTATGTTATGAGTATTCATCAAGTATAAGGATAGAATAAAGACATTTTCATACCTATAAATTCTCAAAAAATTAATCTTTCATGTATTCTTTCTCCAGAAGACACTGGAAGATTTGCTCTATCAAACAATGGCTAGGGGCGCCTGGGTGGCTCAGTCAGTTAGCGGCTGCCTTTGGCTCAGGTCATGTTCCTGGGGTCCTGGGATGGAGCACCCCATGAAGCTCCCTGCTCAGAAGAGAGCCTACTTCTCTCTCTCCCTCTGCTCCTCCATCCCCTACCCCTGCCCGGGTGTGTGCTTTCTCTCTCTCTCACTCTAACTTAAATAAATAAAAATCTTAAAAAAGAAAGAAGAAGAAGAAAGAAGAAGAAGAAAGAAAGAAAGAAGAATAAGAAGAAGAAGAAGAAGAAGAAGAAGAAGAAGAAGAAGAAGGAAGAAGAAGAAGGAAGAAGAAGAAGGAAGAAGAAGAAGGAAGAAGAAGAAGAAGAAGAAGAAGAAGAAGAAGAAGAAGAAGAAGAAGAAGAAGAAGAAGAAGAAAGAAGAAGAAAGAAAGAAGAAGAAGAAAAGAAGAAGAAGAAGAAGAAGAAGAAGAAGAGAAGAAGAAGAAGAAGAAGAGGAAGAGGAAGAGGAAGAGGAAGAGGAAGAGGAAGAGGAAGAGGGATCCCTGGGTGGCGCAGCGGTTTGGTGCCTGCCTTTGGCCCAGGGCGCGATCCTGGAGACCCGGGATCGAATCCCATATCGGGCTCCCGCTGCATGGAGCCTGCTTCTCCATCTGCCTATGTCTCTGCCTCTCTCTCTTTCTCTCTCTGTGACTATCATAAATAAATAAAAAAAAAATTAAAAAAAAAAAAAGAAGAAGAAGAAGAAGAAGGAGTGTGTGGGATTAACAAGAAATGCATGGGATCCAGCACCAGATTGAGGTGATATCAGATCTCCAAGAGTGTAGGAAGATCCAGCATGGTGGCCTTGCCCTGAACTTAGAGTTTACAGTCCTGTGGGGGTGCCTGGTTGGCTCAATTGGTGGAGCATGCAACTCTTGACTCGGGGTCCTGAATTTGAGCCCTTTGTTGGGGTAGAGTTTACATTAAAAAAAAGTTTATGGCCTGATAAGGGGCTATGGGAGAAATGTCTTTTAGAAACTAAAGCAGTAGAATACCTTATATGTCGTGTGGCAAGGATGGAAAATCTGAATTTAAGTTAGGTATGGATTCATAGAAACTTGATACGTTTTTTTTCTAAGGTGATTGTTTAAACATTTTCCAGAAAAGGAAAAATAATA